GGAATGACTGCAGAGCTCAGTGGTGGAACTGAACCTCATTTTGGTCAGCAATCTTCCCTTCTTATCTGAGGAAGCCCAAGTTTAAGTGGCATTTCTAATGTCTCACAACATAGTAAGGATCAAAGACCGTATTTGAACTCAGATCAGATTCTCAGCCCATGCCCTGTCTAATAATTCCTTTGAAGAGGAATTAGCACACTAACCCAACTCAGCAAGACACTTGGGATGCAGAAGTCCTAAGCTGTGGTCTGCTTTTCGCCAAGTGGTCCAGGAGTAAGACAGCACTCGCAAAGGTTTTTTGTGACCTCACCTCAGAATTCACACAGCATCACTTCTGCCATATTCTATCCACAGACCAGATAGAATGGGGGAAAGGGACCACACAAGAGTGTGAATACCAGGAAGTGAGGGTCGCCAGAGACATTCCTGAAAGCTGAAGCATCTTATGATTATTATGAAAATAGTTTTGATATTATGAATCTCTGGACTTGACTGCAAACCGTGCTTTGAGTTCCTTGATCTATGTAATTTAGGCCACTACTGCAGGTGATTCTCAGATCCACTTCCCCTTTGCAGATTTGTCTATCAAAAAAAATTTAGAAACAAGCAAGTCAGAAGGAGCCAGACACTCTCAGTCAACCCAGTTATTTTACTTCTGACAATGACAGAGTGAGGCCCCTGGAAGAGCAGCAGACTCATGCACCAGGACAGACTCAAAGTGTCATGGAGTCATCCAGAACTTTTGCATCATGGCTTTTTGTGTCCTTGGGTTTATCTTAAATTTTCATGAATACAGTAGTCATCCTGTTATCTGTGGATTTGCTTTCTGTCGTTTCAGTTCCCGTGGTAAGAAGTGTGAGTACAAGATATCGAGAGAGATGACCTTTATATGTATCACTTTTATTACAGTACATTGTTATAATTGTTATATTAGTTATTATTTAATCTCTTATTATACCTAATTTATAAATTAAGCTTTCTATTTCTATAGGAAAAAAACCAGTAGACATAGAGATCAGAGCTATCTGTGGTTTGGGGCATCCTCTGTCTTAGAATGTGTCCCTCACAGAGTAAGGGATGGCCAGTGTATTTTCAATCTGAAACTTTTCTCATCTAATTTATCTATGAATTACCTGAATCAAGAGATGATTTCTTTCATTTTCCCTAAAAGCCACTGGCTAAGTGTTCCTGAGCCAGGATTCATTTCTACATGCTAAGGTTTGGCAAAGCCACCCATGTACAACTCATCCAAACATTTTTATTTCCTCCAGAAGAGTTCTGATATTTTTAGCATGTGATACAGTCCTGCGGTGCCCTTGTGGTCACTGTTGGCCCCCTCCACAGGATGGACGTCATCCTCCACTGTGTTCTTCCCAAGATTTTGACTGAAGGGCCTTCCGCACACAGCCTGCATTCGGTTACACTGAAGTTCATGTTGGGACACCACAATGATGTTTCATTTTCTCAAGTTTGCTGTAATAACTCTCCAAGTCCAGTGCTTCCTGCTCCCCTCTTTTTATACTAGTCACCCCTCCCTGGATTTTCATTCTGTGAAGTTTGGGTAGAGCTGCCAATCCCACTTCACCTCCTTTGACCAAAGTGATGAGTGCAGGGAAGCAAAAAAACTCAGGTTGGACCTGCCAGGGTCTGGAATTGTGTTCAGGGAATGCCAAATAGGAAAGCCTCTTGCCTCTAGAATCAAGTCAGAGAACTGAAAGAAATGAGGCCAGAGCCGCCTGCAGCCGTGTTTCCCATTGCTGTACTCAGTAGGTGAAAATGTAGCCAAACAAGACCAACAGAGCCAAGAATAAGATAAATACAGATGAAGAAAGTTGGAGTCTCTGGACTCGCTCCTGCCTGAGGCGAGTTCCAACTCCTTTTGGTATGTCTCAACAAATGCCTGAGTGTCAGCCTTCTACCACTTAATCATGGAAAAGGCCCCACTACAATCCACTCTTTGGGCCATAATTATATTAGGAGGAATCTGCTCCCTGAAGGAGCAAGTGTTGAGAGAAAATATCAGAAGGCTGAGAAAGCAGCAAATGATCTGGAAAGAGGATTGTGAAGGGGCTGACCAGAGCCAGAAAAACAAAGAGAAGCATTTCACAGAAGCTGACAGTGGAGTAGTTTTAATTGGGTGGTGGGAAACACTCCTGTGGACTTGGCAGGAGAATAAATTGGTACTTTTAGGAAGGCAATTTGACAGTTTCTTAGTATTTGAAACGTCCCTGCTCTCTGAGCCAACCATTCTACACAAAGCAGCATTGTTTATTGTGGTAAAAAGCTGGCAATAACCTAACACATTTGCATCATCAATAAGGGACTGGGTTAAATAAATTTTGGAAATATGTCCAAGATCTATTAAGAGGAAAATTTGTATAAGACCATGTAAAGCATTTATTTAGAGACATGTGTTTAGTATATGCAAAAAGGCAAGCTCAGAAGATCACAAGGCAGACAGTCGGCAGCAATATATGCAGGAGGAGGAATATAATTACAAAACTCTCACTATCTATTTATTAGCCCAATTCAGTTGGAAGTTAATTTTTTATGTTTCTGCTGCCATAAGAACATGGTTTGTTTCCTTCTTTTGCTGTTTGTAGAACATATTGAGTCCTAGGTCTTCTGGCCTCAGGGATTCATTCACTCATTTATTTGACCAGAAAAGGAACAAGTGTCTTAGTGCAAAACAAAATCACTACCCTCAGATCTTACAGGATTTTTTAAAAATTTTTATTTTATTCATTTTAGTTGTTGATGGACCTTTATTTTTTATTTTCATGTGGTGCTGAGAATCGAACCCAGTGCCTCCCACATTCAAGGCAAGCGCTCTACCACTGAGCCACAACCCCAGCCTCCAGGGATATTTTTTGTGAAGACAAATATTAGATGGTGGTGTTATAAAGGAACATAGAAAAAGAAAAGGAGGGTAGAATGCTGGAGGTGCGGACAATAGGCTCCAGTTGTATACAAAGTTGTCAGAGAAAGCCTTATTGACAAGGGAACATAAAGACCTAAAAGAAGGAAGGAAGGAAAGTGGCTGTTAAGTAAGGGATCTCCCAGGCACAAGGAAAAGCAAGCACAAAGCCCTGGAACTGACGCATGCTCGAAGGGCTTGAGACCTTCAGGAGAGCTGAGGGCTGGAACAAACCATGGGAAACTAGCAGATGAGGTCAGGGACAATGGGGGGCGGGGCGGTATGCCTAGGAACTTGAGCCTGTTGATCCACTCTGAGAGATCTTCAGAGGGTTTTTGGATCACCTGTAGAATGATCCCACCCTGGTTGCTCTGTCAAGGGTAGAAGCCCGGAGAACAGACAGAAAGTTATGGCAATGCTCTAGTTGAGAGAAAATGACTTGAAGTATAATGGCAGAAATGGCTGAGTTCTAACGGTAGTTTGAAGGTACGCTGATGGATTTGCTGAAAGCGATGAAGGCAGGAGGGAAAGGTTAGCAGTGCCTGTGACCAGGGCCCGGGAAGACAACGCCTCTCCCAGGCCTGTCTGATGCTCAAGTCCAGCACTTAGGACTAGTGCTGTGAGTTGGACAAGGTGGGAAAGGAAGGACAGTGTCCAGTGTCGGGGGGAGAGGGTGGAGGTTTGAGTTTTCTCTTAGGGGAGAGCACTATGTGCAACAGAACCCACCCTGGAACAAGGTGGAGGTGATCATGGCCTGGGATGGTAGGGAGACCAGACACCTAGTGCCTTCACACACTCGGTTTTGGGAAAAAACCAAGAAACCTATTATAGTAAGAAATGACTCATGAACCAGATCTAATTTGATTTAGAAAAACTATGTTTTCCCATGTCTTAATGAGTGGATCAAGATCCATTATGTATATTTTATCATGTTTCATTTTTGCTTTAAAAGACATAGGTGCATTATTCTTGTTATCAGAATAACATACTTTAGGAAGAAAGGTGAAATAGTCAATAGCAATAAATTTAGAGAAGGCCATGGAGTTACTGAGAAAAAAGTAAGGTAAGAAATGATGTCCTCCAGCAGGGTGGAAGCCAGGTGGCCACTGATTAAAAACAGACAGGACTGAGGATGTGGCTCAGCAGTAGAGCCCTTGCCTAGCACTGCGGGGGGGGGGGAGTGGACATGAGGACAGGAGTGTGAGAGAGAAGCAGGGTATAGAAGCTTGACAAAGGCAAGAACCAACAAATGGCAAGAACAAACATATTCCACACAGTTCTGAATAAAGTTTATTAAATAATATGTACAGCAAAGGTAGTAATTCAGCACATCTATTTATCAAATCAATCCACTGCAATAAAGAAAAATAAATGAACAGAAAAATCTGTGTCTGCATAGTACATGCTCTCAGTGTGTCATTTAAATGGCAATACTTTAACTTAATTGGTTATATATAATGTCAGTTATTTTTCTTTCAGAATATAATTTTTTTTTGTAGTAACCTGTTCTAGCAATAGGACTTAATACCACTGCAGATAAATAGGACTGCAAAACAAAAAAAAAAAAATGAGATTATAGTTACCTTCTCTTCCCAAAAGAATGATTTTATTATAAATTTTAACAGTTTGCAATGGCTATTTTTGTGCTAAAAGTCTGCAGGTGAGTTATTTCGAATTCCTTCATTTAAATAAAAATGGAAAAACTTCATGACTTCCTTATTGTCCTCCCCATTCATTCAAATTTTTAAAATTATTTTCTATACAGGTAGGTACATGGCCTATACAAAGTTAAATATACATATTTACAGTCCCACTTCTCACGCACGTGATTTTTTTTTTTCTTTTACTGATCCCAGAGAGACTGCAAAAGGTAAGTAGTTTGGGGCTTGCCTTTACCTGGAAGCACTGCTAATATATCAAAATGTGTCGCGAGGCATGCCGCCAGTTAGTCGCACTTGCTATTAATAAACCTGTATAAACATTTCAGCATAAAAATAGGTACTTTATATTACTAAATGTTTGAAGACAAAAGGGTAATGGGAAACTTTCGCTCTCTTGTTTTCTCATACATAGGAAACTGAAGTGATGCGAATTTGAACATATGATTTTATTAAAGTCGGGCACAGTAGTGAGGCATTGAGGAATTTCTGGAGATATACAAATGTGTGAGGCTGGCATCATATGCAAATGTAGCTTTACAAATTGGTTTTATTTTCTAGCTGTATTTAAAGAGGTGTTCAAAATTACCTACTTAATCAAGAAGCACCCCTCAAAAAACTCTTAATAAGATTGTGTTGTTAACGGTTTGCATCTAAGGAAGAACAGGAGGCGCATGAGCCAGTACGGGGATTACATTCCAAAGTGGGTGAAATGCAGTGCGCAAGCGCACCGCACCGTGCTTTTGTATCCTTACAGTAGCCCCCAGAGAGAGGCAAAAAATAGTGCCCTCCCTGGTGAAGCAGACCTTCCACAAACAATAGGTTTTACTCTCACTGGGTCCTAAAGAAAATCCAGAACGCTTTCTACCCAGAAACCCCCCTCCCCTACAGTTCCACAACCTTTTCCCTTGGGGTAAAGGCTTTGCTCTGTCCTAGTTAAAAACAAATGTCTCTGGAAAGAGGTAACACCCTCTTCTCATCAGTCATTTACACTTTAGTGTGAATGAAGCAGTGGTGGTTTCTTTCCTGCAAGCCTCCTTTAGAGGACAGGGAGAAAGTGAGGGTACTGTGGCTGACTCGTGGGCCCTAGGAGGCTGGTGGGATTCTAAGAAGGGTATCTGGGAGAGCAACTGGGGAAGAGATACTAAAGACAAATTTTGCCTACTTTTTTTTTTTTTTAAAGACTCCAGACTTGGGGACAATAGTCTTGGTGTATTTCTGAGATAGATGCAGAGAACCAGGCATTCTAGTACACACCCTTGCCACTTAGACTTGCTACTCCTATTTGTGACCTCGGAAATGTATTTTTGGGGACTATGAAAGTTTGGAGACTCTGGAAAAAGTTCCCAAGTATTTCTAGCCATAAGCTACCATCAGACAAAGGTTCTCCTAGCATCCTAGCTGTTCAACGGTGAGCTAATGGAGACAGAAATATGACAATGCTTTCTAGCATCCCTCCAGGAGAAATACAGCTCTACCTCTCGCACCCTTCTTAGCACATATCACAGTCTCTCTTAAGTTCCTTTCTCTGTATCTATCTCCCCAATTGCTTCTGAGTTCCTGGTGGGCAAGGAATGGGGCACCTCTATCTTTGTGTCACTAAGAGATCTAACACAGAAGCTGAAAAATTCCCTTAATACAACATGGACAGAGTTGCAACTAAGTACCCCTAAACAAATGTCCTTGTCAGGACATTTGGAGGAGGGCTTCCTCCTCAGATCCAGTACCCTCAAAGGACAGAGCTCCTGACTGAGTAGTGACAGAATCACTGCTTCACACTAAGGCTACTGCACCTACGCCTTTATCGAGAACAGAAGCCTCACTGGGTGCATGAGGATTCCAAACTATGGGTGACTACGCTATGAGTGGTCTTTGAACTTGTACCAGGAGATAAAACTGGCCTTCTAGGCCTTGAGCAGTCTTTTGTATGTTTCAGCAGTCAGCATATGTCACATGTGTTAAATGAATCATTACATCCCACTTTGGATTAAGCCTACCAATCCCAAACTGTCCCAGCCAAATACAAGCCAGAAAGGTTAGCAATGGTGCTCTGATAAATACAGCTGCAGCTGCAGATGCCTAGTGATGAATGTTTATAACAGCCACTGATATGGGAAAAGAACACACTGCAAATGACCCCAGGGGCTGCAGGGCTTCTCAACTTAATCACTTAGAAATACAAATGTAATCTATCTGCTTGGCCATCTGCTCCCCAATTCTCAGGACAAACCTCATGAGCTTTTTCATCTGGAAGAAGGGCAGTTGATGGCAAAGTTGCACAGCAGGCTGATGGCACAAGGTACCTGTTTTGCCTCCATTTCCTCAACTGTACCTCTGCAGGTCCAGGGAGGATTTGGTTTGGGGCCAATTGGGGGCCACCACCATTGTCAAGAGACAGCTCAGCAGCCCAGACTGACCTCTAGAGCACTGGGGCTCAGCTGGCCCCAGGGCAGCCAGGGATGGAAGCTGGGGTAGTCAGTGGATGCTCAGGCTTGGAACCTTTGGAACCTGGCTGGAAACCTATTTGCCTGAGGCCCCAACATTTGCTTTAGGCTCAAGAACCCCTTCAAGATGGAATTTAAGGTTGGGGCAGCAGGAAGCATCTGTGGCTAACTCTGCTCCTGGACTGTGTTCCAGGTCAGATTATCCTAGAGGCAGAGGGGAGTTTGAAGGCTGGAGCAGCTTCCAGAAGCAGCTAAGTGAATGTAGAGTTGCCTCAATTCTTTCTGTTTAGCACACAGTTCAGCCCTAATATATATAATAAGTTTAGACAGGTTTGGGTTTTAAACACAACATTTCTCTGTTCCTGTCTTTTACTTCTTACTTTATCCACTGCATTGATTTTCATAGTGATTTGACATTTAAATAAAGAGACTGGTTCATGAATTATGCTTCATCCTCCAATAAAAATAATCTCTGTGGTTTTCAGTCTTCTTATAGATATAAAGGTTTTACATAGTTGCCTGGGAAAGTACCAAACTGCCTTGTCCTTCTTGAAGTACCTGCAAAACAAACACATACACAAAATGAGAAGATCCACTCACTGTGTTCAGAGAGAGCACTGTAGAGATTTCTGGTTGAATGTCACTTTTAAAATCCAGCAGCTTCTAAAGCACTGTATAATTTCCAAACCAAGTTCCCCTATCTTATCTCATTTTGGCTGCAAAATGATGCTAGCTGTTAAGAAAGGTAGGCATGTCTACTATTCCTATTTTTCAGATGAAGAAACCCAGACTCAAAGAGCTCAAATAACACTTGAGGACCCTTAGCTTAGTAAGTGCCAGAGGCGTAATCTGAATTCAGGTCTCCTGACTCCCAGCCATTTCTCTTCCTGACATTTCTTCTTTTGGAGAAATCAGCATAAGACAAGACACAACAAGACAACTGGGATTTAGAATTTCTGAACTGCAGGATTTCTAACAGCCCACTGACTACAAAGATGACTACACACCAAAAAGAAATTCCTCTCAAACCCTATGACCTGGCTCCCTGTCACCTTGTTAGGGTCCCACTGAACCAGGAGCACTGAGTCCTCTGGGAACAAAGCCCTTCCTGGGTTGTTCCTTATCTGGATTTGCTGGCCCCTAATCAAGCCCCTCCCCTGGGTCCCTCTACAGCAGGGGTGGCTGATATAGGTTGTGTCATCATTTTCCTCTCATTAGAAAGCATCACAGTTTAACACTGCACCCTTTTGTCAGCTGGCTTGGATTTGGCTCCAGAATCCTGCTGAACACAGCACCTAAAGCAGCCACGATGAATGAATTGGGATCATTGCCAAGTGAAGCTTCTAAACTAAAAGAATGTGTCAAGGCTAATGACCCACGAAACATCTAGTTGCACCCTTAGGGAGGCTAGTCAAGAAGGGTAAAAAGAACTGAGATGGTAAGACCAGAGCTGATAACCACTCACTTGTACTTGTACTCATATACTGGTTAGCACCTTTCCTTATGGATGAGAAAAAATGAGTCAGGCTACTGCTTGTATTCTGAATACTAGGCTACTTTTCAAAGTGATTGAAGCATGTGAGAAAGATATCCAAAGTATTTCCTTTCCCCAGTGACTGGGGATGCCTCCATTGGAGAATAGGTGCCTTTACATTAAAATACTTAGCCAGGCTCAGTAGTGCATGCCTGTAATCCCAGTGACTTGGGAGGGTTGAGGCAGGAGGATTGTAAATTCAAAGACAGCCTCAGCAACTTAGCAAGAGCCTGTCTCAAAACAAAAAACAAGAAGGGACAAGGATTTGGCCCAGTGGTTAAGCACCCCTGGGTTCAATTTACAGGACCAAAATTAAAATTAAAAAATAAAAAAAGGAAATACTCATGAAGGAGTTTAAGAGCTAATATACACTAGAGCTGCACTCTCTAAGATAACAGCCAGAGTGGCAACTGAGCAGCTGAAATGTGGCTAGGTGGAAATCTGCTCAGCTGTGAGTGGAAAACATACATTGGGTTCTAAACTGAACACGTGGAAAGAAAACAAGTAAAATATCTCAGTAGTCATCTTTATATTGGTTACATGTTCAAATTATAATATTTTGAATGTACTTGGTTTATAAAATATATCGGGATTAATTTGGTTGGTTTCATTTGACTTTTTTCAATGTGGCTTCTAGAAAATTTGGCATTTCCTGCACAGCTTGCCTGGTGTTTCTGTTGGACTCAGTGCATCAAGCTGGCCCCTGACTTCTCAGATCTTACTTTCTCCTGAATAGAATGACTTAAGGTAGTGAGGGCTTTGGCCTTCCTGGGGTCTCAGAAGGATGGGGTCACTTTCTAAGAAGCTGGTAGGGCCAAGGCAAGTCTTCCTGACTTCCCATTGATGCCGAAGTCTTACTGTTCTCACCACTCCAGCCTTGACATTGCTAGAGCAAAGCTTTTCCAGAGAGATCAGGGAAAAGTTGGTCTTTAGAGAGAAGAAGAAAATTAAGGCACAGAGTAAGTCAGTGGCTCCTAGCATTATATTCAGGTAAGTAGCAGTAAGAATGTGGGTCTGAGGAGAACTTGGGTGGTCTGAGTTCCCATCATTTGCTACCTGGGTGAACTGGGATAGTAACTTAACCTCTTTGGACCTTACTTTTTGAATCTGTTAAATGAAGAAAATTCTTGTTTACAGGGCCGTTCGTTGATATATCATCAATAAAAGCACACCAAGCACAGCTTCTGGCTTGTAACAGAATCTGAGCAATGTTGATCTTTTCTCCCCTTCTCATATAGGCAAATTCTTTGCTGTTGTCAAAACACAAGGGATAGAACCTAGAGTCTCCCACATGCTAGACCAATTAGGTCAATGCTCTAACATGGGGCTACACCTGCTATAACTAAGCAGGTTGCTTTGATCAAAGTTATTAGAAACCTGGAGTAGATTAAGAAGATCTGTGTAAAACCCACACATAAGCTTGAAATTCTCATGGTAGACAAGTCAAAATTTTCTTATTTTGTTTCATAAAGAGCTTTAAAAATGAAATTTCCAAATGAAAATAGACATGCACAACAGAAATATAAAGGAGACCCAATTAATAACAGTAATGAACTTGACAATTCCCTTCCCATGTGTCAGAATTTGGCATGCTTGGTTTTAGATCCAACATTAGTAACATCCACACAGTCTTAAGAGTAAAGAGACCAGTGGCCCAGCATCCCATTGGTGGGGCAGGAGCTGAGCAGGCCCTTCTTTCTGTGCAGAGAAGACAGCTTCCTGCATGGCTCATCCCTCCTAGTTCTTTCTTCAACTAGAAATAAAAACTTGATGAGATTCTTACCAACAAACCACCCATCATCACATTTCTCCATGACATCAACAATATCTCCATCCCGGAGTTCCAACTCATCATCATTCTGTGGTACATAGCTATATAATGCTTGGTAGCTAAATCTATAAATGAAAGAAAAAAATCAATAAAAAGTGACTCAAATATCACTAGGATTAAATGACAAGCTTTTAAACCCCATTTCTATCAAACCAACATTTAAGTAACATTTCCTAATCATCGGTAGGGATTAATTGACTATTTCTCTAATAATGGCATTTGGAGAAATGCATTCAACATAGAAATTAATAACTGAGACGGACAGGGAGAGGAACTCCTGATAAGCAAGTCATGATCAGGCCTCTTATTTAGTTTAATTCTATTACCACAGTCAAGCTTTTCTGTCTAGAGCCCCTTCCACTTCCTACCCTGGTCTTTAAAGTAAAACAAGGCTTTTTCTTAAACTGGGATAATATACATAGACTATCATGGAAAATCAGAAGTTACTTAACCCCAGAGACATTACATTCTGGCTATTGGAGAACATAAGGCCATTGTAAAAACAAATACATGATAGATAGATTGGCAGGAAAATATTTTTTAAAAAGTATATTCCCATTGCCTCACTGATCAGCAAAACTGCCTTGGGTACTCCCCACTTTCTTCTTCCTTTTTTTTCAGTGTTGAGGATGGAAACTGGGGCTTTACACATGCTAGGCAAGTGTTCTACCAGTAAGCTATATCCCCAGCCACCTTTGAGTACTTTTAAATGGATGTAATTTTTCTGAAACTCCTGAGACCTTTGGCTTTTTTTCTTACCAGTAATGTTTGGGGGTAAGAGTGTTATTTACTTGCTAGTCAACCTGAAAGCATTTGGACTGTACTGTTCTGTCCCACAGTAACAGTGGATTGCTGGTGGTGAAATATGACATCTGCTTTGGTATTTTATTTATTTCTTCAACAAATACTTAAGGGGCACCTACTGTGCACCAGCCTCACACTTCTGTTTACTCACTATTTTGAAACACAATAGTAGCAGCAAAACTTGGTAAATAAGTCAATCATCTACTATTTCTAGTAGAGGTCAGTGGATTCCAGTGTGTGGGCAAGACAGACTATAGACATGTATGCAGAGTCAGTTCCCAGAGATAAGAGGTTCATGCTGTTCTGTGAAGGCAAAGGGACAATTTCACTTAACATATTTCTCCAAGTATATCGATACTTTGGTTACTGAATGTGGCTGCCAGAATGAAGGTCTCTAATGAGGAGTTAAGAGATGCAGATAGATTTCTAGCTGATAAACTAACACATTTTTTTTTTCTATACTTGTCTGCTATTTCTTACCTAACTTGGATTCTTATGTCTGGCTGTCCAAATCTCTTAATTTCCACCATGGCCGCTTTGGGATATAATTCCTGACGTCTATTTTCTGTTTTCAGATGGTAGAGACTGGTTGGGGAAAAGTCAGCACCCTTGCTGCCCAGGCTCCCAACTCAACTTAAATTTTGATGGGCCTCACAGAGCTCGGGTCCTTGTCCCTCAAGCCCTCACTCCATCGCCCCTGCCAATTCTGGTGCCCCACTCTCTACCAAGCACTCCTTACTCCACCTCCCCTTCCTCAGATGAAAGCTTGCTGTGAGGATTCCTTGATCTTTCCTCAGATTTGAGACTATGTCTCTGTTCACCTTCTGCTCTGTTGGTGTGCAAGGGTCCTTTCTCCCAGCCATGTTGACTCCCCTTCCTTGGGCTCTTGCTTTACTTAGATCTTCTCACATCTCTCAATTCTGGCAGCTCTTCTCCTCCAGTATAAAGATGCTTCAGTCTCTGCCATATCCCTGTTTCCTTAATCTATAAGCCCCATCTCCCCCACTGCCACACATGTACTTCTATTTACCATCAAATTCATTCATCAGCGCTTTCTAATGGACCACAGGCTGGCAATTCCCTACTAACCTAGCTATATTAAAGGTCATGAGTAGTCTTTCATTTACCAATGGGAACACCTGGAGGACATTTGTCATAACCTACTCCTGGTCTTTTGGGGCCAGGTGGCACTGCTGGACTGCTGCTGCCAGCTCTGGTCTGTGAAAATGAGTACTCCTAGACCCTCATCTGTATCTCCTGCTGCCCCTTCTCAGTCCCCTCTGCTGGCTACTCCCCTTTACCCTGTTATCTCCATGGGTAATCTTCCACACTTAAGAGGATTACAAAGAGCCCATTCCTTCTCCACTGCATTAGTATCTTCTCATTAGCATCTTTGTCTCTTGACTCTAAAACCTACCCCCCAGAGTGATCTACCCCCAACAAAATATGATCAGTATGTTCCTTAATACAGTAATCTTCTGACACTTTCTAGTGCTGGTAGAATAAAATCCAAACTTATTTACACTACTGAAATCTACTATCTGACGTCACCCCACTTCTTGAGCTTAATCCCCATTTCCTCTGAGTCACACACTGCAGTCACACAGACCTTCTTGAAGTTCTCCAAGCCCCACCCACTCAATGCCTTTGCCTATATGGTCCCCTCAGCTGGGAAGACATTTTTCTCCCTATTCTAGTTTTCACAATCCAATTATCTCTCAGTGTTTGGTTCAATTCACCCTTGCTCTGTGAACAGAATTTTCCCCTATGTGCATAAAACAAGAGATACTCAATACATTTTTTAAATTAATAAATGAATGAGTCAATAAAACCTATTCATTCATTTATGCTCAGAATTAACTGTTCTTTACATTCCCTACAACACTAGAATTGAGACAGGTGAGCCCAATCCTCATTTGCCCTTGTATGGCAAGTCTACCTCTCTCTGTGATCTCTTTTATAATCCTACAACCTGTTTTCACAGTGCTTGATAGGAAACATGGCCTTCACTAGAAATTTGCAGAGGACCAGGGAGTGATTTGCTCATACCCATCTCCCCCCCCCCCCCCCCCCCCCCCCCCCCGCCATGGCCATGGCTATGGCTGTTCTCACAGTCAGTCAATGATCCACTCTCTAAGGCCTAAGTCCACCAAGAACGTGAGCACCAAAGGTTCCCAAGTGTACTTACAAATCTGGTGAGGTTTGACTCCTGTCTGGGGTGACTCTTCGCTGCTGGGCTTGAGGTTGCTGAGAAATGATTAAAGATGATTTATTGTCAGAAGGGGATACCTTGTGATGAAAGTCAAGGGGATGAGAGACAGTGCTGCAGTAATGAACAGATTTCTCGGCAATGTTTATGATCTCATTGCAAACTGCTTCCTGTGAGGTGGCCCCGAGATATCCAGAAACCCCCATAAAACAGTCAATGTGGGGACAAAAAAAAAAAAGAAAGAGAGGAAGAGATGTAACATTCCAGACGTAGTACATAAGTCCAGGGAAAAAACAGAGTTGAAGATCCAGGTTAAAAAAATAGATTTCCAGTAGTGTGGAGTGCAGGAGGGATCCAGGCGTAAGCATGGAAAAACAGGTAAGATACAGAAGAATTTGGGATTTAGTATGAATATTAAAAAAAAAAAAAAAGGCAGAAGCATAAAAGCCTGTAATTAGTGAGCAACTGTTACAAATGGAATAATCTCAGGGAAGAAATACAAGTATGTATCCCCAGTCATGCACTAAATACATTAATTTAATCCCACATGTAGGCAGAGTGGAAAAATATTCTTTAAATTCCTCTGCTTCTTTGAGGGAAAGAGGGTGGCCTAGCTACTGGCAGTATAATAGCCATTGTCTTCTAAATAATGGCTCTGTGAGTTAACCAGGCATTACCTCAGACTCTAGTCAGTAAGGATTCTCTTTAGAAAAGCTACGGTCTAATTCAACAGGCATCTTACCACATAGCTCTTTTCAGATTCTGTGAGATCAGGTCCTGCTCTCAATGAATGATGAGAAGGCTGTGATCACCAAGCAAATCATAAGGGAGACATTTTAGCAGATGTCACATTGGCGAGGAGTCAAAATAAAAGTGTGAGCAAATACACGTACCACACCATTACACTCAGATGACACGAGACACTCGCAGCCTATGGCCACTGAGTTTCCATGACAACACGGTGGATGCACAGGAGAAAATGCAAATGTACAGAGTTAGAAGCAAGCATCCAGGCAATGGAATGGGAAATCCGAAACATGGCTGCAGTGTGGTGACAGGGAACAACACAGGGTCCCCAGGTGGGCAGGAGAGAGACAGGAAAGGCTGTCTTCAGAAACAGACTTGTCTCCCATGCATACTGGTCCCCTTGCCCTCAGCTAACAAACATCTTGGGAATGGCTGCTGTACCACAGCCAGTTTCAATTTTTTGTTAAGTAGGATCCTCTGACAGCAGGCCCACAAAACTATCAGGTCTGCCATGAATGGGTACTTAAAAAAACTGAAAAAGAATAATACTTGTCAAACACTCCTGGGTATTATCTGAAGTGTCAAACAAGACCACTCCCCTGGAAAAATCTGCATATGACATACTCCAGTGAAGTATGAAGCAAGTTCAGATATCTCCTAGGCCAGAGTTTACTTCCAGAAATAGGATTGTGTGTCCTGACACAGACGTAGAGATGAAACAGTCACTCATCACTCACCAGTACTACATGTTGATGTGGTAACAGGTGCAATTCAGGCCACACAGACCCACCTTTTAATCAGGGCTCCCATCATGGAGGCCAGGCCTTCTTTGAAAGACTATTTGGAATCACTTCCCTCAAAGAGGATTGAATTGCAAGCTCTAAGAAGTCTTTCTGAACAGATATTGAAAAGCCATCTTTGGAGAAATTCTCCATGTAAGCTGCAATAATTGCAACAAGCCACAGCAACTCCAGCGCCTTGTAGAAGGGCACTTAGACATTTTTTTGTGTAGGATCCACTTGTTTCATAGAGGCCAAGAGAAAGCAGGGACCTCTTCTGAGGTCATATAGTGAGTGAGTGTAGACTTGTCTCATGGCTTCTCTACTGTCTGCTTGGTCTCTTCCATCCTCACACCATCTCCACCTTAGCAATTATGCTCTCTGACATAATTGTTAATGTGTCCCACACAATCCCTGGGGATAGGCAGGTGAGGGCTGATCATCCCCTCTTCTTTAAAAACCCTAAAAACTGATGCTCAGAGAGGTTTTTGTGCATTCCTCAATGTCATTCAGCTGGAGAGAGTTGAGGCTGCTTGTTTGCTCTTTCCACGCACAGAACCACCCCCTCCTGTTCATCTCCACTGCAAATGTTCTCATTCTTTAGCACACCGGGCACCACCAATTTCCATCCCAGGCATCCCTTCCATTCTCGCATCCTTTTGGGAAACCTCTTCAAGTTTTCTAAACCCCTTCCAAACCTTAATCGCTCAAACCAGTGCCCTTAGATTCTGGCAGGAGTGAAGAAAAAGACAGAACTAAGAGGCCATTCCATGCTCTCTATATTGTCTCAGGACCTGCAGGCCTTTGCCAGGTGCCCGAGATTGACCTTGTACAGTTCTACTTACTTCCCACCTCGCTTCTGGATCAAGACTTCCATGTAACAAAGGAGAGAAATGGACATTTCCAAGTACTTGCTCTGTGGGCTTTCAGAAGAATGAAACTAACTTCGGGGCACCTCAAGTGGGTGACAGTGACAGTCAGGTTTGGACTTGATGAAAGGACAAGTTTCTAAAAGTAAGTGCTGTCCAACAACCGAAGTGGCTGCCTAAGAGGAAGTGAGTTGCCTGCCATAGCAGCTGTTGGAACTGAGACCTCCATTGACTGTTACTAGTCAGGATACTACAGAGCAGGGCTCTAGCGTGGGCAGGTATCACCTGGGATGCTGCGTAGTGCAAATTCTTAGTGCTTATGGCATACGTAATGAGACTCAGCATTTCTATTGGTGGTGCAGATGGTGCTGGTTCTCAGTCTAACTTTGGGAGGCAAGGTTGTAGAAGACTTCAACTACCTCACGCTGAGATTATCTAACTAGAGTACGGCAAGACTGGTCTGGGTCATACCTCATGAGAACTTTTGTTCTCATTAAAAAAAAAAAAAATTCCACACTCCAGCTGGTGGCCTGATGACCTCAGGTCAAAGCAATACAAAGACAGGATGTGAACAATCTCATGGCATGATCTCCACAGCTTACAAAAGCTCCCCAGCATCCTTCAATCAACCTAACGCCAAAGCTGTGCCAGGAACTAACTGATCACCTAGCAAACAATTTGGTGCTTAAAAGAAGATTAGTGAATCAAAAATGGTACAAAAGACCTGATATTTTATAAGCACATATAGATTCATTACCTCATCTAACTTTGGTACTAACCCTTTGACTTGGGGAGAGAAGAAGAGAAAATTTTAAGGCTCAGTGCAGATTGAAGACTTCAAAAGGTGACAAAACTACTGAGCATAAGAGCTGAGCCCCCATTCATCATCTCCCTCTTGGTTCACGATGGGATTGCTGGTGTGACCCTGAGAGCAGCACTCAATTTCTACTTCTTCTGGAAATAGGCTGTATAATTTCTCTTCTTGAATGTTTTTTGGTGCTCAAAGGAACCTTCTGTAAAAAGGAATAGTGTACAATAAAAGATAGCATCCAATCATTAACCTAAGGATCCACAGTACCTGAGGGATATTGATCGCTCAATTAATACCTTCTTTGGTCTCAGGCCACACTCAAAGCAGAAGATAAACATCATCATAGTCTCCACGTCTGGACAGGACAAACTTAACCCCATTTCTGAGAGGTAGGGATGACCAAGTTCCTCACTTAGTGTTTGTTGAGTAAATGAAGGAAGAAGGCAAGATAAACATTTACTCTATTAGCTCAGAGACACGTTCTTCCTATTTAGGTTTAAATAAAACATCTCAAGTAGCTGGAATGTAAACCTGAATTTTTTAGGGGGGAGGGAAGTATAGCATGGGGTGGACCATCAGTGGAGATAGAACCCATTTAACAGGTATCACAGAGAGCAGCTTTCACTTGGAAGGCTGTTTACCCTTGGGGTTTCTCCCCCTCTAGGTATGTTTTCTCATTTACTGTTCCTGTTTTCTTGTCACTTAACAGCTCTCACTCTAAGCCTGTGCTGTCCAGTGTGGCAACCATTAGCCACACGTGGCTGTTGAGCACTTGGGTTGTGGCAAATAAAGAGTGAAATGTGTTGTAAGTGTAAAAACACAAACTAGACTTCAGAAGCTGAGTACAAAATAAAGAATGCAAAATATGTCATTAAATAGCTTCTTGGATATTTGGGTTAAATAAAATCTATTATTAAAACTAATTTCACCTGTTCCATTTTACTATGGCTACTAGAAATTTTCAATTATATATGTGGCTCAAATTACCCTTCTTTGGATGGTGTGGTTCTGAACCCTCTCAAGGTCCTCAGCATTTGCCCTTATTTGAGCCTAAGAGTAGACACAGGTTCTCACCAGGACCTCATCCAGGGCTAAGAATAAAGGGAGTGTTAGCTCATGCTATGTACATTTTTGACACTGGAGATACATTCCTATTTTCATGTGTTTGGAAAAACAGTAACTAGTCTAACACACTGCGCTCCATCTTCCTCCCATCAGTGCTAAGCAGGTGGGGGCTGCTCATACCAAGACCACTTTCTTCTGTATTTGCACCCAGTTGCCCCTTCTGCCCCCCAGCATTTGTTTTAGTCTCCCCAAGTGACCTTGCCCGTGACCTTGCTCTGTTGCCCTGCTGTCCTATTCTCAGTTCCCAGAAGTCCATCAGATATCTGATCTCGGCCTCCCTGGGGCTGTTAATCCCCTCTGGATCCACAAAACACCTGGTGCTACTGAGGAGTTACTAATCATCCTCTTCCAGCTTTGAGTGGGTGCCAAAGCCTTGAAGCTCAAAATAAATTACACAGAGACTAAAGAGCAGCAGGAAGGCCTGAGATGTGGACGGGATAGACACTCACTCTCTCCATGGCCCCAGATCCTTTCCAGAAATACCACGGGTCTCTGCAGCTCTCCTAACATCTTTCAGAGATGCCCCTGCCTTCTCAAACTGCACCCATCTTTCTCATGACCTACACTGGCCTCCCCGTGGGACCATGAGAAAATCTGGCTTCCATACTAGTCTCTGACACCAACTAGCTAGCTTTTGAGCAAAATGCTTAACTTCTTTGGACTTCCAAGTTCTGAAATAAACAAGAGGGTTGGGCATAATTCACATA